TCCTAGCCTTTGGCCCCGGAACCAAAGCAAACAGCAGAAGAAGGACCAGAGAGGGAAAGAAACCAGACCGGGCAGGGAGGGAGGGAGGGAGGGAGGGAGAGGCAAGGGGAAAGAGAGAGAGAGAGAGAGAATTCTTGATTTGGTTCACTCCTGGGTCTATGGCAGCATTTAGATAGATTGATAGATTTATTTATTTATTTATTTATTTATATAAAAAACAAACAAACAAAACACACACCCCCAAAAAAGATTCAGCAATTTCAAAGTGTTCGTTTTTTTTTTTTTGAGTCTTTTAAATAGGTCGTTTTGTTTTTTTTGCCCCCATTCGTTTGTTTGTTTAAACGTACCATTCGTTAAAATTTGACGTGAGCGTACTGTGGCTGGACGTGTGATGGACCGCTGAAGATGAGGGGGATAAGGAACTCGTGGTCTGGTTTTCTGTGGATGGAGAGACGATGGTTGGGGGAGTTGACGATTCATAACCCGAGCTGGCAGCGGGGGAAGGCTGGGATCCCTGGTTAGAGGATTCGTGGACCTGGAAAACAGAGAAAGAGATAACAAAGAGAAAAGCTTGACACTCTGTTTGAATAGGTCTGTTCGTATATAGTCTCTCTCTGTGTGTGTGTACATACACACACCGCTTAAATATACACGTATACACGCCCCGCTTAACTATACACATACATACATACACAAATATACATATGCATGTACACGTACATACATGCATAAACACACGTACACACAGTGCATGCTTTAGAGCTAAATAGTTGTGGATGCCTAACTGACACACCAATGTGCATGCGCACTATCTCGGCTGGTTGTCCCGCATGCTAAGCCCCTGAGCTCAGTTCACCGATTGAACTCTATATGCCAGCGAAGAGGGAGGGGGGGGAGGAGAGAAAACGCGAGAAGTTCGCAACCTTGCTTTGCTAATCAGGATGCGGGCTGATCTCAGAGCAAGGGGGAGTTCTGAAGTCTCCGCCAGCTCTGCTAATGTCGCGGGACGGGCCCGCCGTGTAAGAAAAAATATGGGCCTGGATCACAAACACACACACTCAAAACCTGAGCTGTTAAACTTAAACAAGAAAACGGGAGGTTTCCATGTCCATCTAGGTTCCACCAAAGCACCACCATCTAGATTTTGCTTTAAATCCTTTTTTTTTCCAAAGCGGCGCCTAACCCCAGGTGAATCCGGAGCGGGACCCATTGTTGAGGCCGTTTCTCAGTGCAAAAAAAAACCCCTGGAATTGTTAGGGGGTTTTTTTGAGCCTGGGAGCATTCCCTTTATCTACCCCGTCTAGAGTGGCTATATCGTTGGGGACAAACTCACTGTAGATCGAAACACCCTGGGCAAAGAAATAACCTGGCGGCTCTCCACTCTTTTCTCTCTCTCTCTCCTCCCTCCGAAAAAAGTAGCGGTGGGTTACAATCCAAGTCGGCGATGGGATAGGGGAGTCGAACGACAGCGAGCAGAGGAGGCGAGGAGGTCCCAACAAGGAGTAGCTCAGAAGCTTGGAAAAAGCTGAAACGATCATTTTTACCTTCATGTGTTTTCGTAGGGAGCTGGGATGCGTGTAGGATTTATCGCACATTTTGCAGAGATAAGGCTTGTCTGACGTGTGGACATGCATGTGCTTTTTGCGATCGCTGCTGTTGGCGAAGCGCCTGTCACAGCCCTCGAATTCACACTTAAAGGGTTTTTCACCTATTGAAAAAAATGAACAGGAACCTTCTGGTTACAAACCTGGGACTTTATGCCCGTTAATTTTGATATAATATCATATATACGCAAAAACAAGATCTTTCCAACTCCAAGAAATATCGGGGGGAGGAGAACTAAATAAAATGTTTACTGGATTTTCCTTCCACTTTAAGAACAAACCCCAGGATTTCACCAGACAGTGAACCTGCTGCAGCAAAACTGGCAGTCCAGTCTGGTAAGGGAAAATTCGCTGCCACTACCAAAGCTACTCCACGTCTTCGTTTACTTTCCCTTTTCCTTATTTAACCCTGGTCTATACATAATCTGATAGAACTGTATAGTTATCTCACTTCCTATGCATTATACGCTTTGATTAAACTTCCAAGTGGTTGAACAGTGCCTGTTTCCAATTCTCATATAAACGTATATGATAGAATGTGGAAGGAAGAAAAGAAGGAAAGAAGGAAAGAAGGAAAGAAGGAAGGAAGGAAGGAAGGAAGGAAGGAAGGAAGGAAGGAAGGAAGGAAGGACAATATTTTTAAGGTGCTGTTGATTTACGATATATTACAATAGACGTTTTCCAAGGCTAGCATGTAATAACACAAACCCATACAGCTCATATTACTTAAATTGGNGAAGAAGGAGGAAGAAAAAGATGTTTTTGAAAGTGATGATTTTAGCCAGGTACTGATTCCTTACATCAAGGCAAGGTTAGTTAAACATTCATATAACGAACAACAGTATCATTTTATACAATAGTGTGTGTGTGTGTGTGTGTGTGTGTGTGTGTTTGTAAACACAGATGCATGCTCGTATACGCACATGCCTCTATGTATAAATATAAAAACCTGTTCAGATCTAAAAACATAAAACTGCCATACAATTTTACACATGCTGTACTTTCTTCCCGGGTCTCTGGATTGTAGAGCAGGAGAAGAATGGCTAACTGCTGATTTTAAGAAGCCTGTTAATCCAGTTGATAAAAAATATTTAAACACACACACACACACCTTAAATAGAATGTAGGGGAAACCATGTTCTAATCCACTGGCTAAAATACTCTTATGAGTACTCATCAAATTCAGATAAAAACCCTGTTCCTGAACCCACACAACACGGAAGGAAAGAAAGGCTGAGAAGTGCATAGCCAAAAAGGGGGGGGGGGTGGAGTCGCATTCCTTTTTTAAATGTTATCTAACCACAAATCAATCAATCCTTTAAAAAATGTACGTGAGTATTCAGAGTGTGGGTAGGGAGGAGATTGCTATACCCACTGGCTCCTCTTATTTTTAACCATAATTATTTTCCCTTGAAAAAGAAAAGAACATCATCCCCAGTACAAAACGACTACATTTAAAACAAAGTTAAAAGGCCAAAATGCTAAATTTTGTCAGTAGGTTGCATTCCTTTAGGGTTCGGTTGATTCCCAATGTGTCTTTCGGGTGCTGTTCTCTGTGTTTTTGCCTCTACGGTAGGTTCTCTGCTCTCTGGAAGGAACTTAGTTCAGTTACTGTAGACTTTACAAGGTGGCGCTCTTCACGTTGAAAGACTAAATGTTGAAAGACTAAATGAGTTTATGGCTGGAATAGCATTTTCTAGAAAGCATAACTTAAAAACAGACAAGAGACAGACAGACAAGACAACCAACTTTGCCAGCTTGCTATATCTGATCTTTGCTATTGAAAAAAAAAATGACAAGGGTGTGTTTGTCTGCATTGAAGATACACACACACACACACACACACACACACACACATTTTCTCCTCTCTGCAATTAAATTGTTTATGCAGGCCTATCTTGGCTGAATGAAGAAAGCAAGGCCATTTCTGTTCAAAAGTAAACCTTATTGCATTTAGAAGAACTATTTTCAGGATACTGTATACAGGATTGCAACTGTAAACATTCAAGCAAGAGTAAACACAGCATCTCCTTCCCCTAATGACATTTATTTTCAAACAAGCACAATGAATACCCCCACTACAGCACTGTATTGCAAAATAGTTAACCGATAAAAGCATTAAGCATTGGAAACAATGAATGAATCCATACCAAGTTGTTTGCCCATCCCAAATCTTTCTCACTCTAGAAGTTTGAACTGACTGATTGAATTTAAAAACACCTATCCTGGGGGTGTGGGTGCACATACATGCATGCACACAAACAAACACATAAACACACACACACACACACACCCCTCCTTGAACTATGAAGAGGTCACCAGATGTAATTCACTCTGTGACATGATAGCCGACACAGAGAGAGTTTTAGCCAAGCTTGTGATCTGTGTTGTCTTGTTGAAATGTTGTCTGCTTAATGGGGCGATCATGCAAGCTACATCTAGGAACAAAGCCTAGCAGTTTCTACAAGCATCACTAAGTTAAGAGAAGCACCACAGCTTGCAAATCTATCAAACTAAATTGCAAAGAGAAGCAATCTGATTTTTTTTACAAAAAGGAATTGTGCCACAGTCATTATGCACGACTAATATTGATACACAAAGACATAATTTTTTTACTGCATTACTGCCAGCCAGCAGAACAGATTTCTTAAGTAAAAGGAGGGGGGGGGACACTCACAAAAGAGATAAAGTACATCAACTCCAGCCAGCCTTCCTTAGATCAGTTTGTTTTTGTTATCATTTCTGTACGAAGCTTTTAAGGTTGGCATAAAGATAGAGAGAGGGGTTAAAAAAAAGCTTTATATTTGGATGATTCCAAAATGTTGGTGTGGTTTGAATGGGGGTTTAGAAATGGGGGAGGGGTTTAGAAATGGGGGAGGGGTGGATAAATCATTACAAAAGAAGGACAAGATGTCAATTGTGGCCATCTTTAAAGTTATTTTAAATAGATTGTAGTCAAAGCCTCTCCAGTGTTTTGTTTTGCTTTGTTTTAATTTTAATCCTCATATAAATTATTTCAATCCTTACTTATTGCAGTAGTTTGGTACTATAATTCCCTGTTCAAGCATACATTCTGGTCATGTTCTTTCTTTTCTTCCTTCTTTTCTCCAGATGATATTTCCTTTCTGTTAATATCGGTAGGACAAATTCAATCAATAATAACATACTCGATGCTTATGATGGCCAGTTGAATTATATTGCAAATGAAAACTTTTGCTCCGTAGGTTTTAATCTAATACTAATAAAACACTACTGTCACGCCAACGGAGACACCTATGCATGCATTTATCACATTTATATCAAAGTTGCTGCTTTCCTGGTGACACCATGGAAGAAAAGGGGGGACCAGGAGAAGGGGAGAGGGGTGACTCTCAAGTTAACTGCCTAAAAAATCTAAGTTGCAGCACTCCAACCAAAGCAATAAGGATGCCTACCACAAATTACAGGATTTCAGAATCTTTAATAATGTACGAAATGTTACCAAACAGTTCTGTAAACTAAATTGTACATACCAATTCTTCTAGCCATAAATATTGAATATCTGTAACATGTATAACCAGACCTTTACATGCGGATAAATATGGAATTCGGGAAATATATACAATATGTGGTTGTATTTGCCAAAAGCAATGGACAGATTATACCTTATAGCTTTTTTTTTTCCTTTCTTTCTTTTTTTTTTAATATCACTTTACATACACAAATGTAACAGTTTGACACGCAGATCCAGGCTTGCACTATACGAATTATTTTGACAGGACATGTAACAACATTTTACTGCACTACTTAGACTGGACTTTGGAACGAAATGCTTGCACTTTATACAAAAGAAAAAGCACACCAATAATATTCTGTTAGGTTGACGTTTAGACTGTAATAATACAAAGTAATTCACATTTTGGTACACATTTACTAGAACATCCTTGCCATTCAGTACAAATAGTTGATCTTCTACCACCCCCCTTCCCCCTTTTCAGCCTCCTCCCTCTCCCTCCCCCCTCCCCCACCCCCCAGTATATGCAAAGACCACCGTTTCACATATCCCCTTATTTCAACTTGTGGCAGAACTATTTACAAAATCAAACAGTACATTGTAAGCTAGTATTTCTGTATTTACAGAAAACAGGAGGCAGCTGCCCAGAGAAACATGCTCCAGTGAGAGCTCCAGTCAGTGGTTCCCATCGAAAAAGCCCTACACATGGACAAGATGGCACCACAAACCGGCCATTCTCTCATACATAACAGAACCCTTTGGGCTTTGCTCTCCTAGCCTTTGGCCCCGGAACCAAAGCAAACAGCAGAAGAAGGACCAGAGAGGGAAAGAAACCAGACCGGGCAGGGAGGGAGGGAGGGAGGGAGGGAGAGGCAAGGGGAAAGAGAGAGAGAGAGAGAATTCTTGATTT